ACAGCAACGACTGGAATTGCACCAGTTATTAACCCTTCTCTCCCTCCCTCTGGTGGGTGGACGAGGAGGGATGCTGACGCATTACAGAATCCTAAGTAAAGTAAGTTTTGAAAAAAATCTAAGCCTACACTGTCCGGCTTAAAAAATGTTTTACCTAGGAAAAGGAAACAGCTGCCATAAGGTTCTCTTCTACATAGGTTCGAGGTGCTGAAAGGCTAAGAAAAGAATTAAAGGCTTTCACATTCCAGGATGAGTCTCCTTCAGGCACATTCAATAATACTTTTGTTTGTTTGGGGAATACTGATAATTTTGCACTGAGAAAATAAATGACGCAGCCAGGAGCATTGGCTCATGCCTGTAATATCAGCAAGGTAGGTGTCTTAGTTAGACGGCTCTGCACACACTTGGCACAAAGATATATACAAAGCAAAATATTCCTCACAACATTAATAAAGGTAAATTAAATTTAAAAAAAAATAAAAAGTAGGGAAAAGGGGGGAGAACAGTTACTGAAATCTGAATGCTCCTGAAGTGATGTCTATGATTGATGACCCTCAAGCCACAAAACTGGATCGTAAGTGGATTAGAAAGTGAAGAATTTTGAGTTTCATGTGAGGTAAATATACACTACATCATTGTGGAAAAAATCTCTAGCTTCCTGGTAAGTCATGTCAAGGAGTTTTGAAACAATTCAGTAATTCTTGGTTAACCGTTCACTTAGTTTATTACTCAGATGGCTGGCTGTTGCTATATTAAACATTTATAGCCACTGTTTAATTTACCTCTTGCTAATAAAATAGTGTATTAAACTTACAATTAGGGTTTATTGGAACTGAGGTTTATTATCCTGTGCTCCGGAATTCCCATTAGGTCATTAAAAGTGAGCAAGTGAGTATGTCAGAGAGGGCCAAGGAAGCATTAATTCTTGCATATTTTTATTTATGTATCTTTCTGTGTGGTGTATGTATAGGTTCATGTGCACATAGATATGTGTACTTGTGTGTGTTTGTGTGCAGGCTAGAGGTCAATGTGGGTATCTGCCTCAGTATCTCCCCACTTTATTTTGGGGGGATGGGGATCTACCAGCTTCTTCTTCCCCAACATTGGCCTGTGTAACTGTGCCTGGCTCTTTTTAATTGGTTATTAGGAATATGAACTCAAATCTTCATGCTTACTTGGAAGGCACTTTATCACCTGAACCATCTCCCCAACTCTCAAATATTTAATATTTTTGGGCCAAGAATATGGATCATCTTCTGGTAAAGGGGCTTGCCTTACAAATCAAACAATGTGAATCTGATCCCAGGATTCCAGAGTGGAAGGAAACATGTTTCATACATATGTATACAAAATAATAAAATTAAAATATAATTTAAAAATAAACTTTAGAAACTACATTTATATGTCTTCAATTTGTGTGTATGTATGTGTGTAAGCACGCACACAAGTACTTGGTGTCAGAAGTCAAGCTGCAAGAGTAGACTGGACTCTTCTTGTACGCAGGGGGTCTCTGGGATTGAACTCTCAGATCGTTCTTGGCGGCAAGAGCCTTGACTCTCTGAGTCATCTTGCCAGGCAAATATTTAGTGTTTTAATCATCATTGTACTTCCAGTATCACTGTGTATTTCCCTAACTTTTTCAGTTTTCAAATGGAAACCCTATTCCCACTTATTGATTTCCCTCCCTCCATTCCAGCCCCACCCTAGTGCTATTGTACTAGGTCTTTGTGCATTTGTCTGCCCTGGTCCTTCATATTTGTTTTTTTGCATCTGATGTATCTCACCTTGTTTTCAAGGTTTATCTTTAATGTTTCATGTGTTAGAATTTCATCACTTATATCTTGTATTATATTTATTTATTCATTTTTGTGTGTGTGAGAGAGAGACTGTGTAAATTCCATAGGGCTAATTGTGCAAGCTGGTTCTCTCCTCTCTCTCTCTCTCTCTCTCTCTCTCTCTCTCTCTCTCTCTTAAAATTGGGTGTGCCAATTAAGGTGGTCAGAATTGGCTACTAGCACTTCACCTCCTGGGTTATCTTAACAGCTCAGAATTTCATTCCTTTTAATGGCAGAGTAATATTCTTGCATGTTCATGCACTACATGTACCCAGGTACCACGAACTTGGTCTTCCCTTTTATTTATCTGAGACTGTTGTAAGTAAAAGAATACATGGGCTGGACATGTCAATTGGTGTAGAGCAACTGTTGCCAGCATGTTAAGGCTCTGAGCTCAATCTGCAGCATAAAAAGGCTCCAAAACAGTGAACACAGGTTCGAGTGTAAAAGTGAATGTTGGAATGAGAAGGGACATCACACCAAATGTGAAAAAGTCGATGTGGGACAAACCGTGTTGTCATGGCTGTGGGACTCTGGTCAGGTCTTGTTTACACAGCCATGATGTTGAGGTATTATGGGGGAAGCTTCCGTCTCAGATCTAGGGTGCAGACATATAGACAATTTTAAAGGTGAGATGATAGGGTTTCCCTTTCAACATTGTGTTTAAAGAAGTTACCCAGGCTGTGGTGGCTCATACTTTTGATCCCAGAACTCGGAAGGCAGAGGCAAGTGGTTCTCTGTGAGTCTGAGGCCAGTCTGGTCTTTAGAGAGAATTTCAGGACAACCAGGGTGTACAGAGAAACTCTGTCTCAAAAAAACACACACACACACACACCTCACACAGTAACTTTAAAGAATTTGTAGTGAATGCCTCATCACAAATTGAGCTCAGGACATACAAAGTCCTGGCTCTATTTCCAGTACCAAGCACAACACAATGAAGCAATCCAAGTTATGACAAACAGTGGGTATGCACTTAAGTGAGAGGAGAAAGGCTGGTGAGATAGTTCAGGGGTGAAAGGCTTGCTCTCAAGTCACATAAAAGTGGAGAGAGAATCTCTTCACAGCACAGTCTTCACGGAGGCACGCATTCACTCATGCATGGACACATATCACAGACACACACTAACTCAATAATAAAAGTTAGCATTTACTTTTATAAGACTATTTCTGGGTGTGATCGAGGCAGAGGCAGAGAGGGAAGCGCAGGGGTGGGGCAGGGGCAGGTGAAGTGGAACCTTAAAGATTCTTTTGAAAGTCAATTGTGTTGGATCGTGTTTTGCTGGCAGAAACACACGAAGGAGTGTTTTCCTGAAGTGGACACAGATGAAAGGCTAAGGCAGACTCCTGAAGGAATGCTTCTCTGACGTTCCTCCGGGTCCACTGACTCGTGTGTAGGCTGAGGCCTGACTGTCTCAATTAGATAGTGCCACCGCTGCTGATTCATATTTACTATCCTGACTCTACCTAACTAGACGACTAATATATCCAGAAAGTGTTTATGATCGAGCTGTAGTTACTGACTCCTATAAACTACTGATTTCCTGACAACATAAATAAGATTTACTCCAAAAAAAAAAAACAAAAACAAACAAACAAAAACACCCAAAAACATTTCTAAACAGGCCCACTTCCCCGGATCCTTTCTTTCCCACTACCTCTGGTAGGTGGTGGGCTAGAAAAGAGGTTAAAGTGCTTTTAAAAAATCATTAAAAATAGATAAAAAAATTAAAGTTACAGGAAGGGGCAGGGGCAGAGGCAGAATCAAAGTCAGAGGCAGGAGTGGGGCAAAGGCAGGGACAGGGCAGGGCCAGAGAGGTAGACGCAGGCAGATCTCTGTGAATTCCAAGTCAGCCTGCTTTAACAGAGAGTTTTCAGGTCAGCCAGGGCGACACTGTGAGGTATGGTCACAAATCAACAAAGTATTCAGATTGAAATAAGAAACCACTAATAGAAAAAGATGTTTTAAGCAGGATTTCTCTGTTACTGAGGCTAGTCTTGTGAGTTTGCTGGAGTTGTCAGGAGACATGCAGAAGTGTGTACAAGAAAGATGTTTTGGTGGGCAGGTGTGATAGTATGTACACTCAGTCATCCAGCAGAGGCAGGTGAATTTCTGTGAGTTCAAGGCCAGCCTGATCTACACAGAGAGTTCCAGGACATCCAGAGATACATAATATACTCTGTCTTTAAAAAAATTTTTGTGGTGTGATGCAGGTAACAGCTGAATTTGAGCATCAGAACTGTTCAAATATGCTGACACTCCTAGGCAGGTCTTGTGACTACACTTTTGCTTGTAAATTGAATACCCCTAATCCAAGTACTCAAGAGGTAGGAGAATAAAGGGCTTTGGTGTTCAAGACCTTACTGCAACATGTTTTCAAAAGGTTCAACAAATGTAACTCTAAAATGGTTTATAAAAAAATATAGGCATATATATATATACAGAAAGTGTGATTCAAAACTACAGATGCTAACAAGTTTTCGATCTAGGTGGTGAATATACAGATAACCACTGCCCTACTATTTTTTTTTTTTTTTTGAGACAGGGTTTCTCTGTTGTATAGCTTTGGCTGTCCTGAAAGTCATTCTAGCCGGGCAGTGATGGCGCACGCCTTTAATCCCAGAACTTGGGAGGCAGAGGCAGACGGATTTCTGAGTTCGAGGCCAACCTGGTCTACAGAGTGAGTTCCAGGACAGCCAGGGCTATACAGAGAAACCCTGTCTTGAAAAACCAAAAAAAAAAAAAAAAGAAAGAAAGTCATTCTATAGACCAGGCCGGCCTTAAACTCAGAGGTCTTCCTGCCTCTGCCTCCCCAGTGCTGAGGCTCCCTGGGCTTTATCATTTTTTCACTATGCATTAAAATTTGCATAATATGCTTGGCATGGTGTAGCGCACCTTGAATTCCAGAACTGAGGAGGCTGAGGCAGGCAGAATCCTGAGTTCGAGATCTAGATAGAGAGGTTCCTTGGTCAATAGAGTTCCAGACCAATCTTTGCTACACATAGTGAGACTCTGTCTCAAAAAAAAAAAAAAAAAAAAAAGCGCAGAATAAAACACGGGAGAAAAACACCGCCCCACCCCTAGCAGTAGTAGGTCCTCCTGCGCATGCTCACAGGAGCTGCCCGCTCGTCTCCGCCCCCTGGTGTACGCAAGCGCAGGACGCAGGCGCGCAGTCAGAAAACACGAGACTCAAGCTGAGGGGTGCCGTTCTGGTCTGAGGTGTGGATCTGAGGAAGGATGGAGGCACTGAAGGTGGAAAAGTTCACGACTGCCGACCGGGGAAATGGGCTGCGCGCTGTGGCTCCACTGCGCCCCGGGGAGCTGCTCTTCCGCTCCGACCCCTTGGCTTATACTGTGTGCAAGGGGAGTCGTGGCGTCGTCTGTGATCGCTGCCTCCTGGGGTACGTACTGAGCCTGAGCCCGGGGCGCGCGGCTCTGCGGGTAGCGATGGGCCTCGTGGGCACAGCTCTGTGGGGTGTCTGCAGCACCCTAGGCTGCGGTAGGAATTGAGGAGTCAGTGGTGCGGATGAAGAGGAAGCGTTGGGCAGTAGATAATTTTACTGGGGAACAAAACATTCATACCCTGTCCAACAAGCTTCCTGGGTTGTGGAAATCAGAAGTGGCAGAGGGTTGTGGGTGTGTGAAGGAGTAGCAGTGTGTACGTCAGGATCAGAACCGAGGCCCCACCTGACCTGTCTTGGAGGAGGAGGGAGAAGCCTGGTGTTTATGTTGTACTTTGCTGGTCTGGATTTTGCGCCGCTTGGGTTTAGGAAGATGAATGAGACATCCCTAAGGAGCGGAGCAAAAGAGAATTACAGTGTAACAAAAGAGCAGAATAAAGATGCAAACAGTATACTGTAGGACCGTAGGTTACGGGGTGGGGTGGGGGGTGGTTCACGGTGTGCTTCGCTCTGTAGAGATTGTGCAGACCTCTGTGGAGATGCAACAGTGTATGTGACAGTGTTTCGAAATCTGGAAGCACAGTGTCAACCGGAGGTGCTTTACTGTGTATAGAGTTGTGTAACATACGTGTGCATTCATAGGATTTATAACCATCAAAACACATCGGGTTCCCACCATGCACTGGGAGAAGGACGGTGAGATAGGTAGGTTGATTTTTGTACTGGACCATTTCTCCAGTCTCATCACTCTGTGATTGGGGTGGGCAGACATGAGGAGTAATCTAGCTTTACCAGTCATTCCAGTATACTCCCCTCGCCTCTCCTCTTCCCCCTTCCATGTCCCCGCCCCCTCAGACAGGGGCTCTCTGTAGCTCAGGCTGCCTTGGAACCTAGTCTGTAGACTAGGCTGGCCTTCCCTGCAGCGTCCACAATATTCTTGTTTGGTTTATAACTGAAGACATCGGTTTGCATTTTAAAGTTAGCAAATAATAATGTTATATGTTATCTTCTGAAGTGGTGATGTGTGTGACATGCACACACATGCACGTGATTTGTTGAGGAAAGAGCAGCGGGAAGTTTGTGGAGTTAAAGCACTTCACTCCTTTCCAAACTCGGCCTCGTACACCACGCACCCCTTCTCACAGACGGAGGAGAGAAAGCCGGACTCTTCCTTCATTGTGTTACATGTGTTGCATGGTATTTAGAATGTAGGTGTACCTCACTCCATGGCAGAGAACTTACTGCTTAAGTCCTGTAGCATTAAGCAGTGAAGATGACATAAAACCTCCTTGCAGATAGTTTGAAGGCTGTGTTGCTCAGTGGGTAGAACAGAAGCATTTGATCATAAACAACAATGAATTAGTAATGGAATGATCAGAGATTGTCTTTTGAACCCAGGTCCTCTGGAAGGGCGGCTAGTGCTCTTACCCACTGAGCTGTCTCTACAACCTGAGAGATTCTTTTTTTAAACTTTTTTTTTTTGGTTTTTCGTTACAGGGTCTGTGTAGTCCTGGCTGTCCTGGAACTCACTCTGTAGACCAGGCTGGCCTCGAACTCCGAAATCCGCCTGCCTCTGCCTCCCAAGTGCTGGGATTAAAGGCGTGTGCCACCAGCGCCTGGCTCTTTTTTAAAACTTTTGTTTATTTTTTTTAATGTATGTAGTACTGGATTTCTACACACATATCGTTATCCTAGAGCTGATCGTGAGTCATATATTAGAAGGAAGCTCCCATTTTACAGAATAAGGTGTACAATGAGCCTGTCTTCTATGGTAGTTGTGACACTTATATCATTTTCCTCTGGAGAACCATGGTGATTCAAGAACAAAAAATTTTTGTAAAAGGCTGCTGGGGAGTTCTCAGCTCTGCTTTAAGGGTGGGAGAAACCTGGGCGTGAAGATAAACAGGAACCAGGTCCGAGTTTCTCTGCAGTGGTTGGTCTGTAGTCTGGGCCATGTTTTTCTGTTGGTTGCAGGGTAGTAAATGGGTTCTGAAGCTAACTGTCGAAGGAGTGTTCTCTTTCTTGGAATACCTGAGCATAGGCTACTGCTTGCCTTAACTGACAGGTGAGAAGGTATTGATCTTTTTGGCTAAAAGGTAGGCGGCAGCTCACACTTCTCAGGGTTATAAATAAATGCCAGGAATCCAAACAAATTCATTCTTCACGCTGGCTTATAGCTAGCTGCTTATTCATTCTTTACACAGAACAGTTGGTTTGTGCTTGCTTTGGGTTATCACAATGTATGCATGCTGGAATTCACGTGCGTCCCTTATGGAACACAAACGGACCACGTTTCTGTGGTTGCAGGTTTCTGAGCTGCCTAGTTGAGAATCACTGCAGCCTGGAAATCTACTTAGGGAATGCTGGTACATCCTTAATGAGGTTTCCCCTCAGCACTGATGTGTCTCAGTGTGGATACAGTTTCCTGTAACTCTCCTTGTATTGGAGTTTGTGTGTTTGACTATTTATTTATTTATTAGTCACCATCACTTATAAAGTG